GGCGTGTTCAGTGACTGCACGTCCACGAGCATGACAAGGTTTTCTTCACAAGCTATTTGAATACAGTGAACTTAGACGACAAACCACAGTCTGGACCTGGGGGTTTTCCAATACAAATTCATCGGCGAGAAGAGGTATCCACGAGCAAGACACACAGGCATCACTTCAAACTACGCCCTTCAACAAGGACCTTCACACCTGCTGCACAAAAAACGAGTGTTTTGCCGTCTATGGGAGCGGGGTAGATTTACACCTGACTACCGCATACGTGGATGGAACTAGTACATGGCTGTTACTGACTGATAGCTCGTTCAAAGGCGCAGCTCAGCCGAGTCACCCTGTCCCAAAAGATGGTTGTTGTGTGGTAAAACAGGTGAGTGTGTGAGTTAACCACACTGCGGATCAGCCGCACGTGACCAAACGGTCATGTTCGAAATAATAGCGCGAGTTAGAGACTCCCTACTGGAGTTTGGTGAGATGCGCACTGTTGATTACTCTAAACAAGGATGAAACGGCCGTACAGCGCTTCCCATCTGTTTGGCATGGACTGGCTTCATCTCGAGGACGAAAACTCCACCATCTGTTCAGACCACCAAGAAGAAAAAACGAACAAGACCAATTGTCTCGACTTCGAGGCCTTGTTTGGGTAACAAAAGAGTGATCTATGTTAACACTCAGTGAGTACCAAGAGGCATGATTCCATAAGTCCAAACAAGAGGACTGTTGTACGAGATTGGATCTGAAGTGCCCCCCCTCAACTGCTCAACAGTTACCGCCAAGTTGGAAGCTTTTCAGTCCGCTTCGGAGGCTGTGAGTAATGGGTTTGCAGATCGCAGCAGTTGACGGTTGAATTATACGGCAAGCGTCATGGCGCACCACTGAGCCAAAGCAATTTAGCATATGGTGGTCGTGTCTGGTGCCGTGTCAAGTCTGGGAAAGTGAAGTTCCCGCACATTCCTGTTGCAATCTGAACCTACTGTGAGCATTCACATTGGTAGGGACTGACCACCTTTACCGCACACACGTTCAGGTGCCAATTTTCTTGTACTATTGTTCTGGATAGTCTAGACCCTGAAAAAGAAAGTTCCGTGGCCAGCGGTCTCTAAAAATGGTTTTCCCAGATTAAGTACACAGCAGACCCAAAGAAACGTGGAAAACTAGACAGCAAGTAGTAAAAAGGGACAATTGGGGGGTGGGCGTTACTCACGGGCGTTGCTGACTTGTTATCTTTGTAGATGAGAAACCACGGACCGGATAATACGAGCAAACAGTCACTCCATCGTTTCTTCACTCGGCGGTCGTTTGTTGTGAGTTTCGCATACTTGGCCAGACCGCGACGTTCGAAATGCTGGAATAGGGATTGAAGGAAAGTAGTTTGGCGTCGGATAAGAAGTCGTGGGTTGAAAAAAATCGTTCACTTGTAACATCCTTCCGGTGCCTATCTGCCATGCTACCCGAAGGAAGCACGAGAGCTGGGATACTGCCAGGTTGCCCAAGCCTAGACAGGGGAAATCAAGAGTTAGAGGTCGGGTTCGAACCAGGGACCTTCCAGTCAGTAAATTCGCGCTCCAACCACTTGGAGAGCCTTATGTGGAAACCGACTGCGAAAGAAGGCTATGTATGGATAAACCTGTGAAAATAATTATAGTCTAGCTGTAACACCATTTTTATGCCTAGCTTCAATGCCACTCGAAGGAAGCACGAGGGCCCGGATACTACCAGGTTACCCTAACGTCGAAAGGCTGAGGTTGGGTTCCGGACCTTCCGGTTGGTCAATTCGCCCCTGACCCAATGCATCAAAGCAGTATCTGTACACGGAAGACAATAGAGCGTCCGTCCAACACATGGTAATCAATAGTAGAGTAATGAGTAATCATCAAACCGGATATGCTGGCAAACTGAGCGTGCTAACGCATGCACACGCACTTGTGTGGGTGGTAGACAGCTCTCGCTGTCCTTCGGGAAACTGCCAAACCTCCTAAACCCATAGGAATCTAATATTGTTGGTCCCTGTGAGTCCTTGGTTCAAGCTATCGATTAGTTTTCTAACACAACAGGGAAAAACACTGTTTGCCGATTCCAGATGCACTGAGCTGGCGCATGGTTTTGTATATGGGTTTATGAGACCCAAGATACACCAACCGAAGGTGAAAACAAAGTTTGGATATGACAAAGACTAATACCGCAATGCGGAACAGATTGTCCCAAATCAATTAGGAAAAATTTCAAATGTGGGAAAGGTCGGCAAAAGCGAATCATACTTTCCAGGTCAAAGAAGGAGATCTGGATGAGGCGACCCATCTTAGGCCTTTAACTCAAGTCTGATTCACAAGGCAGTGGGAGCATGAAGGAAGTTATTCACAGACCCTTCTTTTGACTCAAAAGTCCGAACCGCGAGGCTTCGACTGTCAGCTTCCTTCAGAGAAGCTACCCGGGGTCAATGACCTAATGGGCTGACCTGACCCACCGGCGTGGAGAGTAAGACAAAGATGCACGGCTCATGGCGCTAATACGCATGATAGATGCGTTTTTTGACCGGGCTAATATGAAAAATCATTCAGCTTTAGCACCCTTTCAGTGCCATGCCACCCAAAGGTTGCACGAGGGCTGGGACACTGCCAGGCTGCCCAAGCCTAGACAGGGGAAGTCGAGAGGCAGAGGTCGGATTCGAACCACAGACCTTCCGGTCAGTAAATTCGCGCCCTAACCACAAGGTCAAATTGCCTTGTGGTATGCTAGGTTGGTGATGGTGCCATACGTGACCTTCGGTGATTGCTGTATTGATGAGATCAACTCCAACCATGGTCAACTACAAAAAAACCATACGGGTGTGGTCCGGGTTCGGCTTATTACTAATACCGATAGGTGGAATCCTATGCCCAAAGTACACTACTGCTCACAATTAGGCGCCGCAATTGTCAGTAAACAAGAACGTGAATCCTGAAAATCCATCTACGCAGTGCTGACGAGCTCTAATAAGAGCGAAACTCTAGTCCACTGCTTCCCATCTTTGATGAGTACTCACAAGAATAATTGCGCCAGGACAGAATGAAGACTGTTCAAACGAGAGTGATGTGGACGTGAAATGTCAAGAAGCTTAGGTCGCACGTGAATGGTAGGCCACTGACCGGTTCCGCATCAAGGTGACCTCTGAATGGTCAAAAATGTGGGCCCAAAGGCCATTCATGCTTCAACATCTCCTGAACACAGGTTAGTAGTGACATAGCTAGGAGCTGTCCGAATTCCCTCGACGCGATATACGTATTTTTTTACTTTATTTAAGCGTTCACTGCATTCACGGTACCCTCAGTGGTTGTTCTGCGGATGATCAGACCGCGGTCTTGGTCGAGGTGTAACTGTTATTTCAAATGAATTCCTTCAGGTTGTCTGAAGCGTGAATCATTCGGTCGTACCACCGGGTTCCTCCAATGTGAACCTTTACGAGTGTTGAGTTTACAGTTGTGCTAGAACTGACTTTCTCTGACAGACTGAGCTGATTATTGGTCAGCACAAGCTAGTCCTGGGTATATGCTTTGGGTGCGTCTTTTGAGGCCACCTTCCACATACACTCTGAGTCTCGAATGCTCAGTACCCACCGAATGATTTGACCATTATGGTTCATCAGCTTGGCATGCCGATGACTGCGGCGAACAGCCTTCTCCTGTTCACCTTCCTTCAAGACATTCAGTTGATTGCACACCCAACCAACTCAGCACAAACTGTATGAGGCAGTGTGCACGGCATGCAGTGGTTCGATATGACGAACAATATGAGCACAAGAGAACGTGTGCACATATAAAGTTATGAAAACCATGATAAAATGGTCACGTCACAAAGACGCCGACGATATAGGAAAAACGGGTGACGGTGTTACAAAGGTGTTTGATACGGAGGACAGTTCACCAAAAACCATAGAATGCGGCTCAGGGGGGAGGGCAGATTGCTCAGTCCGTGTTTCGAAACCGACCTCTGCATCTCGACTTCCCCTGTCTATGCTTGGACAACCTGACAGCATCCCGTACCTCGTGCTCCCTCCAGGTGATATGGTAGCTAGGCACCGAAATAGCAATGCAGCTGAACGGTCGGTCTGACGGCACCAGTCGAACAAAACACTATTTTGAGCACAATGTTGAATGTGTACGGACTAACCTACACATGCGGAAACGGACAAGGGTGTCCGGTCAGATGTGGGGATAGTCATCCACTGAAAGCGTGCAGATACTGTCTCATATTGTTCCTAGTTTCCGTCTCATCAAACAATGTCTCCTTTATATGCGTAAGAGCCTACGCCTCATATCAGTTGAAGTCATTCCCACGCGTAGGATGTCACAATTCCTAGTCCTCTATGGATGCTAGTTTACATCTCCGATTGGTTTTTAAACACTTGTGGTTCAGGGACCTAAAGATGTTTCAGGTAATGGGAAAATACGAGATATCGCGATCCATGTGTATCTTTGTAATGTACTACTCATAAGGTTGCTGAAAATCCGTCGACCAAATTAGCTTGCAAATGAGTATATATTTGCTAATTTCGTGCAATGTGGTTTCAAGTAGAACATAAGGTTGACGGAAACCCGGAGACTACGCCTACCTGATGAGCCCCAAAAAGGGCGAAACCGGTCGTGGGCTGTCGACGGATTTTAAGCGACCTTATGAGTAGTACATTACAAATTTTTGCATACTTTGAGGGCATCCAAGAAGAACCGCGAGCTGTTATAGATGTGAACCGTACTGCTCACGATGATCAAAACGACTAGGAATGCGAGGGAACAGAAAACACAGTGAACGAGCACTCACCGCGAGTTTGTTTTCTTGAGGCCCACTTATGTGCTCTTTTTTCATCCTAGTCACATCGAAAAACCTGGAATCTTCACAAGGAACTTGCGCCGGTTCATTGATCAGATGGGTCGATCGATTGAGTTCTAGCTAGGAAAGGCAACAAGATAGGGCGAACGAATGAATGAGCAACAAACCCCAACGGTGTACAAGCAAGACAAACCAACTGGAAGACACTCGGTGCATGGGTTAGAAGCCTGCGAATTTCGGCTGGTCAGAGTACCGACCAATCGGAATCAAGTGGTTCGGTTCGCTTTGTCGAGAGAGGACTTTATGATCGGACATTGGGGAAAGTCCGGTGATTGACTGTATACCTATGGTTACAGGATACTCGTGTGGTCCCATCACACACGGTAGTGCGTCGTTATATATACACCAGAGCGAGCAAAGGAGGATTGTTGGAATGAATCATCCCAACAAAACACAATCCCTGAGAGCGAGAAAAAACTTACCATGGACAAACGATGAGTGGGAGCATGTGTGGCCGGAGTAGCCGCAAACGTGCGCCGTTTTGTTGGAGCTGACTCGACGTTCGAGGATGTCTGTCTGCCCGTCTGGGATGTCTGGTCACTCGGATCGGCGTCCTTACAATTTCCGATATCTTCCAGTTCCCAAACAGAACGTTCCGAATTCACCTGATAATAGTAGGGGATCCCATTTGAATCCGTTGTAAGTACCCACTGCAAATGGAGAAACATTCGGGTGTCAGATGACCTTGGCTGAGAGATAGTGAGGGACGGCAAAACTAAAAAAGATGCCTAAGGGAAGGAATGCGTCACAACCTGCAAACACAATCCAGACAGGAGACTCAACTAAATCCAGCTGAACCTCTAGTTTATACTGGCCAATTGCAGCCTATCGGCCACAACCAGCACCATGCTCATGCTAAGACCACTGCAGATGAGCACTCTTTATCAGGCATAACCTGTTCGATAACCGTTCAGCTGTAACACCCTTTCGGTGCCTAGCTGCCATACCACCCGAAGGAAGCACGAGGGCTGGGATACTGTCAGGCTACCCAAGCCTTGACAAGGGAAGTCGAGGGGCCGAGGTCGGGTTCGAACCACTGACCTTTCGGTCAGTAACCGCCTGGGCCATCTCGCCTCCAGTAGAGGCGAGTAGAATCTGTTCTGGAATACGGGGACTGCACAACTAAAAATTTGTGTAATGTTCGATACAACAAATCAGCTTCAACAACAATCCCTCAGAGAAAGGGTCACGGGAAAAATGACAAGATTACTTGTGGATAAGTAGTGTTGAGTAGTATCGGACCATACGATAGCAATGACATCTGCGAAAAAGATAAGTAAAAGAACCATGTAAAAGTGTTGTCAATTCCACGACCGTTCTACGATCGCGAGGAATAGAGGGACTGGAATGCAAAAGGGCGTCGGAGTCAAGAATGAACTCGAACAAGAGCATCCACAAGGATCTCTGTGCCCCATGAAGCTTTATAGACGAGTGAACCCAATACAGAACCATTCCGACCAGCAACCATGCCAACTCGCTGTTCCTAGTAAGGAAGCATCTACAATAATCTGGAACAGAGCACTTGTGCAGTTCGCGCTGCCTATAAGTTTACCACCGAGAGCAGTCAAATCCACGACTGCGTGTCCTCCAGCGGACTGGCATGACATTGGCGCCAGTATACTCACCAAATTCGGTGTATGAGCCAACCCATATCAAGCAGTTTGATAAAAGTAGTTTTATGATAGGGGATGCTACGGACATCAAAGGCGACGGAGCGACATTGCAGGGATTTTTTCAAACACCTGAGACAATTCTCAGTGTTCCCACTGGCTTGTTTCGACCCTTCGGGTGTTTGTGCGAAAACGGATCTGTGAAAAAGTCGATCAACTGACAAACGGAGTACGTGACCAAACCAGCGCGACTTAGTGGGCGAGTTAGTTATTCCAAAAACCATTCGACATACTTTAGCATTACCGATCCGGTGTTCCCATCAGGCGATTATCCGAAGATATCGATGGTCAAACACTGAAGGATTCTTTACGTTCTCCGCAGATGTTGAAATATTCAGTCTTAATCGCAAGAATTGAAAACTAATGACCATATGCGTCGTGTGAAGGCCTTTCAATCCACGTGGTACTCATTTCGTCATACTGCGTACAAAACTCAGAATATGCCCCGCCTCACTACCAAAACAATGTGTGCGGTAAGCTCGTTCAGCTCTTCACCGTGCGCCAGAAAGTGTCCCCCACCTAATCAAGCGCGAAAGTGTGCTTGCGGAACTTTGCGTTACGGTGATTGGGTTTTTCTTCGTTTTGATTCGCTGCGGGGCACGCGAAGGCTCATCATCGGTCGGGTTTCGACAACGCTAGGTTAGTGTCTGATCCATTATTTGCATATGTCAGTGTATACTGGCATTGCCTGAGGACCTACCAAGTTCATCATCCTAGTCATTTAGCATTTTGGACTCGCTAGTTACGGCTGGCCCCATTCTAGACCCTCATTTTTCCAGCAACTTGTTCATCAGGATTTTAACGCTAAGGGCGTTGCTTTCAGCCATGGAGATAGTTCTGCGAGGTGAATGACACAAGCACTCAGATATGTGGTTCCCGCTAGTCCTTGGTGTTTTGCTGTAGGCCCATTTCGAATTATACCCTTGCGCCATACGCTAAACGTCCGTTCGGATGTCTGCAGATGCACGGATGTTCCGGTGTCCTATCTGCCAGCAAATAGCCGCGACGTTTACACTTGGTGTATGTCAGACTATGGAGCTAAACCGTTCAAGAAGCAACAAGAGCGTGCGATGAGACCAAGCGTGAGGACTTATTGAAAACGTAAACCAAATGTGACAGGATGAAGTGAAGAGACAAAGGACGAACAATCCAGCAGGAAACTGTCACCCGCCTTCATGTACATAACGTAATGAGGAACAAATTACTTTGTTGTGTATGTTCGAAAAGTGAGGGGGAGGCGGAGAGTACGAAAAAAAACAAAGAAAGAAAGCGGGAAATCGATACACGTTCAAACGAGAGGTTACCTGCTCTCCGGTTTTCTGATCAACATACATCTCATCGCCATCGTTATGATACCGCAACCATCGCGGGTTGGTGGAATCCTGCGTTAAGGGGAAAAACACAAACTCAAACAAGTGTGCGTATCATGCCAAACTAAACTGATATACTGGCGAAATACACTCATTTGCATACTAATTTGGTTTTGACGGGAACCCAGCTGAATCTCTCGTTTATGACACTTTCAAGCAACTGAATGTGCTGTACCAGGCGAGATATTGCGATCCATGTATAGACCAAATACACTACTCACAAGGTTACTACCGAGGGATTTTCAGCAACCTTATGAGTAGTGTATCACGTGTGAACCACCAGACATATTCAGAGATTCCATATACACCAATACAATCAGGACAGCGAAAAAGACTCAGCTTGGAAGCCAGAGGAGGTAAGTTCGGGAACTTCGGAACAGCCGCAAACGTGCCCTCATTGCGAAATGCACATTAAAGTTGAGAGGAGAACGCACTGCTGTGAACACTATACAATTTTATGAAAAGATAGTTATCCCATCAGCCCATGGAATACCACAATAGCACTTGCTAGAATTCGGCTGCAAAAACTTAAACATCAAACAATCGGGTTGAAAACACTAACGGGATGATGGGTGCATATTGTTCCGCGTGTCGTTGGACCTAGTCAGTTCAGTTTATCAGCTACAGATCACGATTCCAAGTGCAACCATTTCAGCCACTGGAGAGTGGAAGAGTAAGAGGGACATCACTGAGTGTTGGGTGTGATTGCGTAATCAGTTCGTTTGCATTGAACGGGTCCGGTTGTTTGAAGAAACGCGAAATCGGCGATAACGTTGGCACAACAGCGCCACCGATTGTGTAAATGAGTCCGAATGTCGGTAACCATCGACGAGCTGACTGCCGGGGTCTTCATCCAAGGAGGCGGCAGCTGTCAACCCGAGTGATTTTAACAGAGAGTGTTTCATGAATTCGTTTCCCAGGCTGTCTGCCTCTCAGTCTTTCCCATGCGGCACACGGTTGGTGGTGGAGAACAGTGGAACTACATGCTCTAACCGGCGTACTCTATGAAGTAGAGTCACTCATCCATCGCGGAACAGTTCCTTCTTCTTAAAACTATTTGACACATCACAGCTTTGCGAATCCGAAGCCCCAGGAGACCTGGAAGAGGGGTTTCGTACACCTTCTACGTGTACAGGCCACGCTTCTCAACTGCAAAGTAGTATGGGTCGCGTCGTAACCGGCTCAAGTGGTTAGAGCGCGAATTTACTGACCAGAAGGTCCGTGGTTCGAACCAGACCTCTGCCTCTCGACTTCCTCTGTCTAGGCTTGGGCAACCTGGCCTCGTGCTTCCTTCTGGTAGCATGGCAGCTGGGCATCGGAAAGGTGTTACAACTGAACGGTTTATAATTTCTTTCTTTCTACCATCTTCATGACAGACAAAGTAACGTCAGGTAGGCGTTTCCTCAGCCTCCACGATTCTCCAACCAGTTTGCGGGAATCGTCAAAATAAAATTATCTACCGCATCAACTGGTTTGTCTGCAACCACACCGCTTGGGTGTGCTCACATTCAGTACGTTATACTTCGCAGGTGTAAACAACATATCGGACCGCGCAGCAGACTCATTCAAGCAAGTGACAAGCATCTTTCAAGAAACTGAGCCAAGAACAGCAACATCGTCTGGTTGTGAGCAAAGGCTATGGGAATACTTCTATCTCCGATGTTTCAGAGGCAGGCAGGGATGTTTCAAGTAGTGGGCCAATGACAGGGTTGAAAATTCATGACAAAAAAGAAAACTCCTACTCTACACCCATGGATGTGGTAAACTCAAGCGGCAACTTTCTGTAAACTCGCACATGTCCAAAAGAGCTGGCATACATTGTCCTTATAAGTGTAAAAGCTCGGAAGGAATACCTTTGATCGTTGGGAACCTCCATAGCTTCTGACGATCGACAGAGCAAAGACAGTCTTCAGATCATGAAAAAACACTACCAGTTGAGACGATGCTTGAAAATGGGCAGCTGTTGGAGGAACTGTGTCAAAGTGAACGTATGATCATTGCGTCCTCGGCCATGGCAAAGCATAGCTTGGTTATCACGAGTCTCTCTCCCGACTTGGGGATGGCCAAAGTGGTCAGAGCGCAAATTTATTGACCGGAAGGTCCGCGGTTCGAAACTGACCCGCTCTGTCACCCGACTTCCTCTGTTTAGGCTTGGGCAACTTGCCAGTATCCCAGCCCTCGGATGGCATAGCAGTTAGGCACCGAAAGGGTGCTACGGCTGAACTTTTTTTTCTTTCTCTCTCCCGACAATCGATCAACCTGCACAAGACAATGTCGGAGAGCACCTTGAATGACAAGGCTACCAGGTGTCAACATCACCATCAGAGACATCAGTGTTGACACTACAGTACCAGGTTGATGCCATGATGGGCTCCGCAACACGTTCTTGCACCCTTTTTGAAAACCAGAATCATCAAATAAGTGTTCCAGGCTACCGGTGCTCCGTTTTCGCTTTAAATGTCCCGTAGCAGAACTATCACCCTGCCCACCAGGGCTTTATAGATCTCCTTGAAGAGTGTAGACCATCTAGACCGGGTGCCCTGCCGCGTTGCTGGATTTCTGTTACTGATGGCGGTCTAGTGTCGATGTTTTTTCTGATTCTCCCAGAGTATCGTGACAGCAACTCTGTGAATAAACTGCTGTTCCACCACTTTCGCAAATCGTTGATCCCCTGGGATTTCGCAATTCACCATTGTTCTCTTTGATTCTCCAGGCATTGTAGGGGCATGCATCCAGCCGAGAAAGTTCTGTTCACCCGAGACAATCCATGTTTGTAGCCCGGATAAGCAACACTACTGGTCGGCTGGTTAAACGACTTGCTCACTGGCTATCCTCTGAGTGATGGCGACATCCCGTCAGCCAGATTTTCTGCTGGGCGACTAATTAATGTATCAACTTATCTAGTCGGTGGCCGATGCGTTACTTGAGTGTTCTTTACTTCTTTACCCACCTCTAATACTTCGGGGGGAGGCGAGACACTCGGTTCGTTTATTCACGGACATTGAGCACGCCGATGATACTTCCCTCCTTGGATCAGGCCCTTTAGAAATACAAACTATATTTAATAAACTGCTGCACAGCTAGGTATGCGTTCCACACCAGCAGAGTATAAAATGCTGCCGAAAGACATCAAACCCGAACCTCAGGTTTGCAGAAGAACCGATCAATGTGATGGATAAGTCGGTCTATTTGGACAGCTGCATAAGTCCTGCCGGACTGTTGGAAGACGAAGTCATTCCCCGGATCGGGACAGCCAGGGCAGCGTTTGCAAAACTCCGACTTATGGCACCGACGCGATATCAGCTAGACCAGTAAGGGTAGATTGAACAATCCCGCAGTTTGGTGTGTCCTACTTTATGGATCGGAAACGTGTGTGTGGAAGATCTTCAAAGACCATCGGTGCCTCTGAAGCGTTGCGCGGGTCTGGTGGGAACGTCAGATTAGCGATGCTGAAGTATCCCAGATGATTTTCAGCAGAGTTCGCTGCCCTCCATACATCAGCTAGTCGCGAGATGGGGCGAGATGGCCTAAGTGGTTAGAGCGCAAATTCACTGACCGGAAGGTCCGTGGTTCGAATCCGACCTCCGCCACTTGACTTCCCCTGTCTACGCTTGGGCAACCTGGCAGTATCCCAGCCCTCGTGTTTCCTTCGGGTGGCATGGCAGCTAGGCACCGGAAGGGTGCTACAGCTGAAAGCTGAAAGCCCAGCTGGTCGCACTCCACCGGTCTCACTGGTTAGGCCATGTGCTGCGTATGCCAGTAGACTGTTTGCCTCCCACCCTCGTGTCGGATGGAGACAACCGAGAGGCGGTCAGTTCATCGCTTGGCAACGAATAGTGAAAGTCCTCACCTCTCGAATCAGGCGCGCTGACAAATGCAGTCTCCCCGAATGGGGACCACGGAACGAGAGAAACCAAAGGTTGGTGACTATGACAGATACGGCTGCGTCACGCAACCAACGGCACTCTTGCGTCAAAGCTATTACCCCCCACTGGGTAGCTCTCGCTTCCTGGCATATTGGGTAAACAGGCCCATCCAACGTCAATGAAAAGACTGGGCCATCGCCTCCTTATCCTCGGTGAAAGAAAGCAGTAACAGCTGGAACCACTGCAGTTCCGTGCACAGTTTGTGAGCTGAAGAACTGACCGACTGACTGATTTATCCGGTAAACTGATTGGAAAACGAAAGAGTGCAAAAGAGTGGTTCGGTGGATGACAAAATACATTTTTGTTCACCAGATTGGGAAGCCGGTATAGCCAGTGAAACAAAATCTAGTTGAAATGTGGATAGACGGACACACATGCTTGGCCAGTTCACCAGAAAAGAACAGATGGAACAGCCACCTGGATCACGTAACAGTCGAGCAGGACAGATAGCATCAGCGGCAATACGCTCGAAGATGTCGCTGTCGAAAGAGTTCATGATGGATACCTATTTACGGAAGATACGCCGCGATACGCGAGCCAGATACAACCAACGCGACAGAAAATATCTAGTCTAGAACCGTGATTGGTGAGGATTTGGAAACTGGAACATTTGGACCAATGAGAAAACAACTTGAAAGCAGGTCGAACACTGGGAAAATCACCAACAATCCTACTGATGGAAAGGAATATCGACAAAAGGGGAATTTCTTTTTTTTCATGAACGAATTTGAAACCCGGAGAAACGTTACCTTTTGTTTGTGCTCTCCAAAGCGCCCATTGGAGAGTTTGGACGCTGCGTCGAGAGGATTTGCGCCGGAAACCGGAACAGATTCTATTATAGTTGAATGCCGACTGGACGGTGATCGTTGATCGACGAGCCCTGGGCGAACGGACTGAGAAAGCAGAGAATCGGTATTAACAAGTCATGAGGAACAAAGAAATCGGAACAGAATAAGCGTGAGAACCCATATATATACCAATTCAATGGGTGAAAAGAGCATTGATTAGTCTTCAATTTCTTCGGCAAACATGACAAATTTATGGCACGTATCCGGATTCGGGTGGACCAGTTAGTGTATGTGTGATTTTGCAATTGGAGCGCTGTGATTGGCTAGTAACCTGCCCTCATGTATTAGTTCATTGACCAATGGGAACGGCCAGTTATATGTGATCTGGGAAGTACTGAATTTAGTTTATACAAGGGGAACAACCATAGAAAACAAGGCGTCATCCGTGCCTGCTTGACTGTTGAAGACCAATTTTCAAAGTACTAGATGAATTTGGTGAACTGGGGGGGGGTCAATCGGGTTGCACGAACAAGACAGCCACTGGGTTTTCCTTCGAGCTGAAGGTCAGACTAATCACATCAGTCAAGAATGAACACTCTCGCCTGTTCAGAGATGAAAGCTCAAGTGCGTCTAGCGTGCACTGGTAGAGTATTCATCACACGCTCGCTTCGCATTTCAGACGTTCAGAGTTCACACCCCGTCAGGGCTGGCGAGTTCTGATAAGGGCAAAACTTTAGCCCACTGCTTCTGCCTTTGATGATAATCCACCCGAATAATTGCGCTAGGACAGAAGGAGGACTGTCCAATAAACCAGAATACAGCTGAAAATAAGTTTACGTGGGCAATACCAGACCGAAAAACGAGAAAGTGCGAGATCAAAGGAGGTGAGGAGACGTGCGCTGTTCGTTGAGTTTGTCAATATCAGTTAGGCTCAGACGCAAAACCATGCGTACGTGCGGGGAACGAGGAAACCGTGAAGTTGCCGCCTAAGGCGAAGATGAGCGAGATCGATGGAAGTTCAAGGTCAGGATGGGGTGCAAAAGGATTTCAAATGTAGTTGCTGTCTTCAGCTGAAAATTCAAGCGAAAATGAATGTGCAGGCGCGTGAAAAGCAGGATGGGTAAAGGGTTTTTCAATGGGATATTAGGCTGAAAAAGTGCATCGATCAGAAAGTGGTCTTACTAGATGGGTGGTCAGTCCACTCACTCACTCAATCAATCAATCGATCAGTCAGTTTGTCAGCTATATACCACTTAACATGGTCACATTGGTTCCATCTGCTACAGTTTTGATAACCGTAAAGTGGGACAATGTGGGACATACAGCCAAGCTTCGGAGGCGATGACATGTTCAGTTCGTTCGGGAACTGGGTAGCTACGCACTGAAGGCGACAGCTCTAACGCGCCAGGAACACCGACTGCGCAACTGGGACGTTTCCGCCAGTGCCACTGATCACTGGTGAGTTTAGTCCCGTGGTCCCCATCCAGAGAGACCGCTGCTGCAGTTTAGTTGCTAGTGTTTTCATACTTTCCTCCCCATTCAGAGAGACTGCTGCTGTCGAACTGACGCAGTTTAGTTGCTAGTGTTTTCATACTTTGTTGCCAGATCATACACTATCCACCTGTCTGCCGCCTCTACTCGGCACAGGGCTGGGCGAAAAAGAGCTTTGCTAGGCAGACAGTCCTCTGGAATGCGGAATACACGTCCTCACCAACGTAACCCATGAAGCGGAAGAGTTCTTTTTCCAAGAACCACCTGGCGTACCAGTGTTCCCACCAGACCCGGCCAATAATTCGCTAATTCAATCAGTGACAACTTTCGTATATCTCTGCGCGTAGATACCACATTTCCTATCCGTGAAACAGTCCCTGACAGACAAACCGAGGTCGCGTCGGCGCCATGGCTGTCGGAGGTTACTTCACTGTTTTTCATGAATATCGAATTACCTAGACCTCACTCATGAACTAGGCTGCATCTCCACATCAACAAGTGTGTGAGGGTGGATTCAAGCCGGCGTCAAACACATCTAGCCAAATGCTGCTTTGAATACGGTGGCTCAAAAGATACTCGGGCACACCAATCACATCGTTCAAGTGCGAACACGTTCGTCTGTTCAGACGTGATAATTCAGATGCGTCCAACGTGCGTTGGGGAGTAGTGGTTACACGCTCGCCTCGCACGTCAGATGTCCGGGGTTCAAATCCCGGTAGGGCCATTGGATATGCACTGCTGACGAGCTCTAATAAGAGCGAAACTCGAGTCCAGTGCTTCCCGTTGGTGTGGTCACCGGAATAATTGCACCAGAACAGGAACACGGCCATTCAAACGAGAGTTGTGTGGCTATGAACAAACATTCTGTTACCCTGAACAAAGAGGAGAAAACCGATTACTGGTGGATGGAGCTCTATATAGCTCCGCGGTTAGGGCGCGAAGTCACTGACCGTAAGGTTGATGGTTCGGATCTAACCCCCGAACGAAACGAAATGCAATTGAAACCAGCTAATTTTGCGAACGATCGTTTTCAGAAGGCATTCCGTTCAATAATGCTACATTCACATGACGCGCACCAGTCGGGACGGCTAATCATACTCTGATGCGGTCAAATCGGGATTCGTTCGTGATTATCACAAAGATCGAGACCCAGCCGGAAGAGGTCGGAATTTGTGCGGTGGAACATGCAAAAGCCAAGTCACAATACAACAATCAAGTGTTGCAGAGTCGTCACGTTTGTAACTCGATTAGTTTAGTCACTGAGCACAAATCACAAGATGTCATAGAAACAATGAAAAGTGCTCTTACCGTCAACGACACCGGCTGTACCCCCGAGGTTTTAATTTCGTGTTCCACTGTCTCCTGGGCTTCGGCATGTGAATCAGACAGTCGCTCGTGGTCATCGGGCACGTCGTCGTATTCGATCGCATCATTCTCATCCTGGATCCCTTCGAAATCTTCCAGCTCCCACACAGAATGATGCGACCTAACCTCGTAATAGTAAGGCCGACCACTGGAATCGGTGGTCAGCACCCACTAGAGGCAGACAAACAAACACAGATGGTAGGTCAAGGGCGAGGGTGCGATCAAAAAAAAATAAGAGGACTGAACTGGTCGAGAATCACAGCCAGTGGTTGCCGCGGAAGACAACATCGTCAGTGGTTAGGGCACCAGCTTGCGGACCGCAAGTTTATTGGTTCGAACTCGACCTCCCCTGTCTAGGCTGGGACAGCCTGGCAGTATCCCAGCCCTCATGCCTCCTTCTGTTGGCATGGCAGCTCCAGATGAAATGAATGTGTAATGAATGTTTGATCGACAAATGTTGGGACTAAAATTCATCTCAACTCCGCCACAACGCTCATTTCCAATGATGGGGTTAACTTAAGCTTGGAAGTCAAGTTAGACCGGAAGAACACATTTTTCAGGCTCTATTCGAGACACACGGATTTGATTGGAAAGTTAGGACACGAGTTGTAAAGAGTACCGTGCAAAGTTTACACCTGCGTGCAGTTACTTAGATTGGTCAAAATGACGAATCGGTGTGACTGGGTTGATAGACGCAAGTTCCGTGCAGAATAGTGCAACAAAAGAAGCACTTACACTGTGGAGTGTGCAGGGATAAGAATGCCAGAACATCAGCTAAGGGAGGCTACTTCTCAATGAGCAGTGCTCAGGGTGAAAGTGGCCCGAGAAGAGTGCTGTTAAATCTTCATGAAACAAACGACCTCGAGGCTCATCAGGTGAGTGAAATCCCCGAGTTTACGTCAGCCTTCTGTTTTACTTGTAGGAAACTTATGAAAACACTTATTTGAATACCACTTTGCTTTTCGTCGGGGATTCCCAGCTGAATCTCCCTTTTGGAGGAAATTTCAACAAAAATATATATATGGGGGAAACAAGATACTTGAGATATTATTGCTGGTAGGTGGTAACTCGTTCGAGTGCTATGATTGTTTTGTGGTTGAACAAAGGACGTGGTTCACCCTTGCTTCTCAAAATGCGAGTTGCCTGTGAGTGCCGTAGAGCACATTTAAACGAAAGTTGTTTGTTTACATGTAATTGCCAAGTAGTGCTAACTACGTCTTCATATCCAAAATAGTGGTCCACTAGAGAGAGGGTGTATAGCGAAAAGTTGGAGCAATCTGCCTCTCTAGAGCGTGAACACCTACCGGAAAGTCTGAAAACCAGGTCGTGTTTGACCAGGAATGTTGTTACGGGCTATCATGAGGGGTGGGATCTTTTTGGAAAGATCACTGCCCAGGTCTATCGCATGAGTCCGGTCTCTGTCGTTCAAACACGAAACCAGTCGTCTAGAGAAAAAAACCGTTCAGCTGTAGCACCCTTTCGGTGCCTAGCTGCCATTCCACCCGAAGGTTGCACGAAGGCTGGGATACTGTCAGGTTGCCCAAGCCTAGACAGGGGAAGTCGAGAGGCAGAGGTCGGATCTTCCGGTCAGTAAATTAGCGCTCTAACCAATTGGGCCATCTCGCCCCCTTGGATACGTTTGAAGGCATGCCGATCCATTTTAGTGCCTTCATATCAACTCACCCAGTACACTATCTTCTCAATCGAGGCCACAAGAGCCTTCCTGTCGGTCACGAAGTAGCTTAAAATCCTCCCTGAAGAAAGGCAAACTCTCCAACAGGAGGCGTGATATCCGTTCTCAGTGGCCTCCTCTCTTCTGGAATACAATATATTGGTCTACTAGCGGGGATATGTCATATAAGTGGTTTCCTTCGAAGAAACTTATCTCAGGGGGGGGGGGGCATTCGTAATGTAAACCCGAGTAAACAGAGTTCTTTCCCAAGAAATTGCGAGAATATTGCTGAATATTCTATGGGAATCGCCTGGCTGATGGGTGAGGTGTATATGACTTGTGAAATTCAAAGGACGTTCCGTTCCTTTTTATCGTACCGTACTGCCTCCTCATGGTCAGAAGAGGTCGTTACAGAAACGGTCATTGGATGCTCCACACTGACTGCTACACGTCTGGACTATTCATCTGGACCAATATGAGAGGAGCTTCCGAGAAGGTAGCCCAGTAAGAAAGCTCTGCGATTCGCTCTGTATGCACTGGCCAAACTGGTCTCTACTGATTAGAGTTAGCCGCAATTAGGGATTCGGAGAGATAAAACACCCCGGTTCGAGTGAAGCAACTCCTCGGCGTCCTACGGTCGGGGAAAACAAGGCTTTCTTACGCCGTAGTCAATGCGGTCACTTGGGAGTGGCTCGCTCCATCCGATTACTACGTAGGTTATCAGGATGAAGAACCGATCGCCTTGGATGGCTCAAAGACCACCGCTCAGTAGTTTACAAGATATAAAAAGCATTCCTTCTACAAGAGAATTAACGACGATCCCGCAGATGTCTCACAAGACACAAACCTTCGCCGAAGAGTCCTATAACGCAGCAGCAAGTGTGCGCAGTGAGAGGAGGATGCAAAGTCATGACAATGGAACAACACAAAACCATTCAGAAGCGAAGACAACTTACCCGCTCGCCTGTTTTTCTATCCAAGTAACTTTTACCATGATCGTTCTCCACCCGAAGCCAGCGAGGACCGGAAGAATCCTGTGGAGAGGAAGGCGAATTGGAGGAAAGCATTTGCTGAATGATCATTATGGATGACTAGAAGAAGATAATTCCCACAGCAAGTAAAATTCGTTCGTTCAGCTGTAAGACTCCTTCGGTGCCTAGCTGCCATTCTATCCAAAATAAGCACGAGGGCTGGGGTACTGTCAGGTTGCCCAAGCCTAGTTAGGGGAAGTCGAGTGGCGGAGGTCGGATTCGAACCACGGACCTTCCGGTCAGTAAATTTGCGCTCTAACCACTTGAGCCATCTCTCCCCCAAGCATTTAGAAGACTGCGTGTGGGTGGATTCTAAAAGTACTTGGTCCACTACGCCTTAAGAGTGGCTGTATCCACACAACCATCTGGTATTTGTCCATGAACTGTGGCAAAAGTTTTACAAACACAAATCCAATCAACCCAGAACGTTCTCATTCGGTATACAGGGACTCAAAGAAGGCATGAATGAAATCATAAGAGGTGATGTAAGGGGTGGGTTCAAATTGTGGACGTTTCAGCCAGTAGCTGATGTCATAACGCTGTCCAAAGTCCACACTTGTTCTCCGCTGATTGGTCTGCCTTGCCAATGCGTTTTCTCATGGTGCGGTTCAGAATGCAGTCACAACAACGGGAGAGTCATTTACTCCGGAAATATTGCCTGGCCTTGATTTCACAATTACACAATTTCGTCAGACTTGGCAAAAAGAAATGGGGATAAAGAAACAGGCAAATCGCCATGGCTCTACCCAAACGAAAGCGGCCAAATATGTCAGAATATCGCGGTTTCCTAAAAAAATATTTCAGAGGTAGCTTGACGGAAAAGGAAAGTGAGATCGACATGCATTCTGCATGCGGCGGTGGCTTATAAGAGGCGCATCGCAGCTTGATATGATGGTAATTTTGAGACATTTCTGTGTGTGTGTGTGTGTGTGTGTGTGTGTGTGTGTGTGTGGATTTATTTTCGTTTTGACCGCAGGGATACTCTTGCATGTCTGTGACTGATACACATTGGTCCAATCTGATAAACAGCCCCCATCATTAAGGCAACTAATAACAGAGGACGTTTTGTCACCCAGCTATAACTCACAAAATTATATAACGTATTAGGAACGGTTATTCTAAAAGGATGGTTAGTCCACTTCAACAATCAGCCATAGGTGGCCACCTTAGGTACTCAAGAATGTTGTAGGCGTCCTTGCCCAGCGCCCTATCGTAAAGCGAAAATAGGGGCCTGATAAAAAACTGAACGACCAGCGTGGCAGACGATGCGGATCTTGTCGATTGCTCAACGACGTCATCTCCTTTTCCCTACGCGGCAAATACTCAGCGTATTTTGTAAATGTTTGAATATTTTCAGATTCAACAGGGAAACAGAGTGACGAACATTGACGTTTTCTGGATCTCGTCTCCAGGTCAGTATACATCTGATGATTGAAATTGGGATAAGTAGTGTAATAAACGGCTGGAGGCGGTTAGTAACCCAAAAAGTCGGGAACTAAAACATCTGGTTCTCAATGGAACCCAAGTCTCATCTAGTTGGATGATGTACGGTGGTCAATCGGTGGCGATGAGCGGCCGGGTCGATCGATTCGTGTCACAGGATCAGCAAACTCAGCTGCGTTGGTCATTGCCATCTTTCTGGATGGGGACCCCGATACGGGCTATATCAATGGTTAGAGACATTGTCAGAGATGGCCCAGTCGCGCCCCAAACGGCGCTCGTGCATCCAAGCTCCCTTCCCAATCCCGTCACTTAACAGTTCACCTACAGCGCTGTATTCACGCGCTAATTTATCAGCTCCCGCCTCCAATGCGCAGATACCTACCCCATCTCCCCGAATCATCGGTGAACAAAAGTGTGGCAGCTACAACCACTATACGACAATACGCAGTTATTACAGCTGACAATGATGATGATGATGATGATGACAGGACCAAGAGAGATTGAGATCCCGAAAAGATTAATGTTCGTCTCCATATACCACGACACCTGTTCACAGTATCTACCTATGATCGATTAGAGTAACCATGAAAAGTTGTAGAGACTAACCAGAGCAAAGTAATAGTGGGTACCGCAACGTGCCCCTTAGTCGTATGCATTCATCGCATTACTTTCGATTCAGCCCGTTAGGGAATCGCAAAAAGAGAATCGCAAAAAGTCTGAACTTGATTGGTCGAACTGACGACAACATCTAGATTCACCATTGCTAAATTGCACGGAACTCGATTGGTTGATTTCAAGAGTATGAGCATTATATATTTCCACTACGGAGAGGTTTCGCTCACTGATGCGAGCCAACTGACGATGGGATAGTGGAATCGATTTTGCTGGTCGTTCAACTCTTGACACTTACCCGCAAAGAAGAGTAGCGGAACCGGGAAATTAAACCTGAAGTTCGCCACATAAATTGGTCGGAGCGACCGCCTTTTGCGTCCGTTTTAACGTCACCCTGGTTCTGTAATTTGAATAACCAATTGCCGCAGCAATTTTAGTACATATGCTGTCCACAGACAGACAGACGCATCAGTAGATACACCGTTGAGTTCACGAGTACGCCTTTGCCGGAGTTCCTGGTTCAGTCTAGCTTTATTCACAGCGTGTTGCTCTCCAGACAAGTTCATCGAGTTCACCGCCTTTAAAATGCTGATTCATCGGTCACAACCACGCACATCACCGATATCAAATGTTGGTATCATGCCCTCTCCTACAGTCACGCCGCTAACCCCAAACTTTCACACCTATTTCTCCGTTCCTGTTGTTCGTAATATAACTGGGGTTTCTGAGTAATGTTCGAAAAACCGTCTTTCTCCCTCGACAAAATTGCGAGCCTAGGCGAGGTTTTCGAGCGGAATGTTTCTACATTTGGATAAGTGGGCTGAGTGGAACTAAGCTGTCTGAATGAATTGTTTCTGGATTTAAGTTTTGATCACAAAAAGTGTTTTTACCACGACATCTGTTCACAGTATCTACCTATGATCGATTAGAGTAACCATGAAAAGTTGTGGAGACTAACCAGAGCAAAGTAATCGTGGGTAGCGCAACCTGCCCCTTAGTCGCATGCATTCATCGCATTACTTTCGATTCAGCCCGTTAGAGAATCGCAAAAAGTCTGGACTTGATTGGTCGAACTGATGACAACATCTAGATTCACCATTGCTAAATTGCACGGAACTCGATTGGTTGATTTCAAGAGTATGAGCATTATATATTTCCACTACGGAGAGGTTTCGCTCACTGATGCGAGCCAACTGACGATGGGATAGTGGAATCGATTTTGCTGGTCGTTCAACTCTTGACACTTACCCGCAAAGAAGAGTAGCGGAACCGGGAAATTAAACCTGAAGTTCGCCACATAAATTGGTCGGAGCGACCGCCTTTTGCGTCCGTTTTAACGTCACCCTGGTTCTGTAATTTGAATAACCAATTGCCGCAGCAATTTTAGTACATATGCTGTCCACAGACAGACAGACGCATCAGTAGATACACCGTTGAGTTCACGAGTACGCCTTTGCCGGAGTTCCTGGTTCAGTCTAGCTTTATTCACAGCGTGTTGCTCTCCAGACAAGTTCATCGAGTTCACCGCCTTTAAAATGCTGATTCATCGGTCACAACCACGCACATCACCGATATCAAATGTTGGTATCATGCCCTCTCCTACAGTCACGCCGCTAACCCCAAACTTTCACACCTATTTCTCCGTTCCTGTTGTTCGTAATATAACTGGGGTTTCTGAGTAATGTTCGAAAAACCGTCTTTCTCCCTCGACAAAATTGCGAGCCTAGGCGAGGTTTTCGAGCGGAATGTTTCTACATTTGGATAAGTGGGCTGAGTGGAACTAAGCTGTCTGAATGAATTGTTTCTGGATTTAAGTTTTGATCACAAAAAGTGTTGTTCTGACTCGTCCGAATGATGGGGACTGAAGAAGATCAAAAAACGGAACCAGAATAATAATCATAATCGCTTAGTTGTAAAACACCCCTTTGGTACCTAGCTGGAGGAGGCACGAACATTCAAAAACAGCCTGGTTGCCCAAGCCTAGACAGAAGCAGTCGGGAGGCAGGGGGTCGGGTCTGAACCACGGATCTTCTAGTTAGTGAGTTCGTGCTTTGATCACTGAACTATCTCAAGTTCAAACGGAGCCAGACGCAAATATCAGTAGGGGATTATCAAGTATTCTCTAGGTTGTCGTGCTGAGTACGCTTGTAGTTCCACCCGCTTTTGTACAATGATCAATTGGCCTATAAACACGTCTTAAAGACCACACACCTACAACCGTCACGGCTTGCTGATAAGATGTTGGCTAGTTAGACTACAGCCGTCATTAAGTAACTTGGCCAGCCAGAGAAAAGCCGAGCATCTAAGGTCTTTTCTGCGTGCAGCTGCTGCCTAGCATCAAGTTGTGTATAATTTTAAAAAATCATTCGGCTGTAACACCCTTTCGGTGCCTAGCTGCCATACCATCAGAGGGAAGCACGAGGAATGGGATACTGCCAGGTTGCCCAAGCCTAGACAGGGAAAGTCGAGAGGTAGGGGTCGGTTTCGAGCCATGGACCTTTCGGTCAGTAAATTCGCGATATAATCACTTGAGCCATCTCGCGTGAGAGCGACTACTCACTTGCAAAGTGACTTGGTGTTGATGGCAGATTCTGCCCGATTTCAGCTGAGTTCCCCATCACGACCACGTTGATTTGCGTATGAGTGTCTGTCCCAACATGGCTACAACTAAGTGTCCAAGATGGAAATAAGGCTGGAGGAGATTCGAGGACTAGGTCTACCCGAGGATCCGCAAGGGACCGTTCAGAGTCCTTAGCAACTTTGTAAGTAGTATTCAAAACGGCTTTTTCTGTAGCATCTATCTAAGTTTTGGAAACCAGTCAAGCCTCCACGGTTCCTTCCAGCAACTATTCGTCCAGATGATTCGATTGTCAGTGAGACAAAAACGATTTTCCAAGCATCCGACTGTGTTTCAGATTCACCCACCACTAACCCCTCACCGCCCAACTCTCATGGGTAGCAGTTCTCGAGACTTTGCAACAAGACTTCCTCGTAAGCTGTATGTTTTCCAGCGCTAAAACGACCACTGCCCTTCGAGCTTGAATTCGTCCCACCACACGGGATCTCACGTGCGCACCAACCATTCCATCATCGGAAATAAGACAGACCTGAAGAGCTAATCGGATTGCTTTTGTCTGCGCTGAAGAACAAGCTGGACGTGCGAAACTCAGCCGAGTCCCAGCTCCTGAGCACGCAGACGCACAGATTAGTCCGCTGGATAGGTAAGCATCGAACCAACAGGATCGAATGAGAACTAGGGTGCAGTGCTGCACACACAAGTCACGTGACACTGATTTGTTGCTCATACAGACGCACTGTGCTGCCTACGTGTAACCACCATTTATCGATCGGCACCAACGAGTAGTTAACCATAAGCTGGAAAAAATTACGGATTGCTAGACAGTATTAGGTGACAAAGATATCACGTGCAATAAGGATGCGAAAACGAGTAGAATGAGATTCGGTGATCAATCATATGGTTGTGTGACGGAAACCGAGGATATGGCGAGCGGAGATTGGCACGTTTTTTCGATATGCAAAGATCGAGCTATCGGGAATATTCGAATCACTCTTCGTGGAACAAACCTCCTGTTATTCTGGCATACTTGAGTTCACACCGAATGGGAGGGGGGAAGCAGTGGACTCGAGTTTCGAGCTCATCGGCGGTGTGTACGCTTGATCGGAACCCTGGAAGTCCGACATGGGAGGTCAGTGGACGCCGCACACAACTGAATTACCACGTCTGAACAGGCAATGTTGTTCAAGATTGGGCGATGTTTGTCCGAGGCCAATGTGAATAAGAGTTCTACGAATCATACGACCGTTCAGCTGTAGCACCCTTCTAGTGCCTAACTGCCATGCTACCAGAAGAAAGCACGAGGGCTGGGATACTGTCAGGGGAAGTCGAGAGGTAGAGGTCGGTTCAAACCACGGACCTTCCGGCCAGTAAATTCGCGCTCTAACCACTTGGGCCCTCTCGCCCCTGACCACTCGCAACTAATACCGGAAATATAGTGGGACGAATAAACTGGGGACTCACTTGTGAGGGGGAATCCGCGGATTGCGGACGTTCTATGGAAACATGAGATCGCAGAACAACGGTGGTCGCTGGCTCGTTTTCGGACCGCGAGGGTTCTGTAGGCAAAAGAAACAGAAGGGAACTTTGGGAATAGACGCGACAAATTGCCGGAAAAACTTGATCTTTTGGTACAACGAGTGAGGTGAAGAATTGCAAAATATTACTGGGGCATGATAGCCTTGGTTACATCGATACTACTACCAAGATGGATTAAACGTCAGAGATGACTACAAACGACGGAAAAGTTTGTCCGGGACCAAATCAATCTCGTACATCGGCATTCTGAGGTCGTAGAATCAGCCCGGGACCATTCCGCATCCCCATCTGGTAGTCCGCAGCCTGAGCAGTATTGTATGATTGAACGCCACACACACACACACACACACACTGATCATGTCACAATAAGGTCGAACGAGTTGCGCGAAGAAACGCAAGACTTTTGCAATCTATTGACTGACACTGTCGAGATGGCACAATCTAATCGGAATAAGCTGATAGTTTACGCAATAGTTTATGCAATACCAGCACCGAAGGACTGTATGAAGAGGCCTAGGCCGGGTGCTTCTAAGACATACTCGGTTGCAACGCAGAGAAAGTAAAAACAGCTGAAAACACGATAATCGATTCATAGTGAATGTGCATACATTTTGCATTATGCTTAGTCTGTCGGTGGATAAAAAGTCGTGGAATTCATACACGCATCTTGGTACAAGTAAGGACCAATGAAAAGTGTGTTTTGCTATCACAGTACCCAGTAGCCTTGGTGACGAACAAAGAGAGAGAGCAAGGATACCAGGGCACAAAGTGAAGAAATTTACCGACCGAGAGAAAACAAACGATACGGTTGAGTGACTATACTTTTAAAGACCATAGAATATGTCACAGTTGAGGTGGAAAGCGCACACTCCTGAGAACTGATGCGAACAAACGAGTTTGAACTTTTAGAGCACCCGGATGTTCCAATGAAAGTCCTTTTGATTTGTTCGTCAAACCTCCCCCACGATCAAAAAAACGAAGAACAGAATACAGATGATCGCCTCTGGGAGCCTCATCCTCATCACCGACAGCATGACATCAGTGTTCAGCACCGATGCTTCACTGCCGGTTCACAATATTAGTTAACTATGGGAGAAAATGCCACACGATAAGAACGACAATTTCCAAAGGGATCTACCGCGAGCGTTCTTGTCCGCTATAAAGTGTGAAGCGAAGTAAAACAGGTAGAAAACTTAAGTGGGTCCACCTGGACGTCAATCTGTGCAACCGTTCATTAGTATACACTTTATTTCACGGGGCCAAGGACACTGAACGACAGAATTAGCTACTCAAAAGAAGCGCGGTTGGCCAATTACATCTGGAAGCACCCGACAAGCGGGTTCAAGAGAAATCTTGAATGTCCGGCGATAGCTGGATCTGGTACCACTAAACTCAAAATGGAAACAAGGCAGGGGGGGATCCAACTGTTACTTGCCAGTTTTGTTCACTGGTCCTAGTATCTAGGGTGTCCCCCGCAGTTTTGGTGGGACTGACACCGGTAGAACTGAAACATGGAACAAAAAGCTGGGCTGCCCAAACGACTTCACGCACCATCTGATCATGCGGACGCCAAGTTCGTTTTAACCGACAAAAAGCCCGAAGTAGTTGACTGCGACAACGCTTAATACTGGCATTCACTCAATAATCTGGATCACTGTGACAGACAACCTGTCAAAGTGACTAAAATCGTCCCGCGTATTATTGATTAATCAATCGAAGCAATTGCTACCCGCTCAGACGGATCTGAGATTGGCCCTGAGTCTATCGTGATTTTATTGACCGGGTCACGTGACGTGAGATTTAGCTATGAATCATAACAAAAAGCGTAATTCAGTGTTATGTCTGTTTTGGTGGAATCCATATGTTTTATCAATTGGACGGAATAACGGGCTCGTTAAAAGGTAGACTGAAATCTGTCGAAACGAATTCATCATTCAAAGGTCACAGTGAAGTCTATTCTCATTGATACCTTACCTCTATGGACCGTAATTCTGAAGAAAGTAATTCCATGAAGTGCTGACTGGAAAGGCGTCCCAAGACTACGTTTGCTACGGTTGATTTCAGACGTGAAGTGCGATGTTCCATCAAAAAAATAGCTTGGACGAACTGGTGCGCATGTATATACGCATCCCACAATGTCAGCTCACTGATGAAAATGCTTCGCCAGTGGTCGCACTATGGAACTGCCCGAGTATGCTGCTTGGATGCAGTTAGACCACAGACATTTCGTTACTGATCGAGGGGAGGTCGCCAGTGTGGGCAATGAGACCTTTACAATTCAGCTGCCAAGCTCGGCAAAAAGGACTAACATCATGGAACTATCGATCCAAATCGTGCGGTTGATTGGGTTTCATCCAAATCAACGGTTTTGGAATAGATCCTCAATATCGCCACCCGAACTGAGTGGCCCGAGATAGCTGTGGTTAGGGCACGAACTTACAGGCCGGAAGGTCCGTGATTCGAAACCAACCTCGACTGTTAGTGTCTACGTCTGGATAAAATGAGAGTAGCTCAGCCCTTGTGCTTCCTTCAGGTGGTATGCCAACTAGGAACCGGGAGAGTATTACAGCTGAACGGCTTACTTTAGTCTTATCAACTGGGTAACCAAAGCCGCCTCTTGTGAAGAGGGAACTAGCAACGTAAATAAGTTTTGGATAGAGTCGTTTTGCCTTCTTGTTGGAAGCACACTCTCTTCATAAAGTGATATACCAGGCGATCGGACGTTTGATCTATCGATTGACGCCTCGCAAACGAACGCAAGTAAGGCCTCGATAGTCGGTGGTCCGTTCATTTCACGACAACGTCATCTGTAACACCCTATCGGTGCCTAGCTGGCATGCTACCCGAAGGAAGCACGAGGGCTGGGATACTGCCAGGTTGCGCAAACCTAGACAGGGGAAGTCGAGAGGCAGAGAGGGTCGGGTTCGAACCACGGACATTCCGACCAGTAAATTCGCCCTCTTACCAGTTGAGCCATCTCGCCCCAAAACCGGGGAATTCGGTCTGGTCAGTTTCTTGAAAACGTGCGCACACAACTGCACCATCGTATAAGCGGTCAACTTGAGAGGCATCCTGTCACTCTCAACCCACGGGTTGGCCACATGTCGAAAATGCAAATCACCTAACAGCGTAACCACGAAAAGACAGCAGGCCAACTACCAGCCAAGCTCCATATGCACCGGGTTCGTGAAGCTACCAGTCACTTGAGGACACACCAGAATCGTCACAGAGACCGTGACGATTGTTAATTCGAAACCCAGATGACGCCAATGCATTCAAACCGCAACACTTTCACCACGCCAATAAGGATTGGTTGATGCACTGACACACTGACGCAAGTATCCAGTTCCAAAGTACATGAGAGTGAAGTATAGACAAAGGGAAATTGCCGCTGTAACATGCGTGATCAAGATGAAATTCTTAGGAATGAGGTCGGGTAACGCGAAACATGAGTTTAGCTCATATTTATCGTTCAGCTCTAACACCCTTTCGGTGCCTAGATTTCAGGCCACCCGAAGGAAGCACAAGGGCTGGGATATTGCCCGAAACTAGACAGGAGAGAAGTCAAAAGGCAGAGGTCGGGTTCGAACCACGGATCTTCCGGTCAGTAAATTCGTGTGCTCTAACAACTGAGCAATCTTGTCCCCAGCTCATATTTAAAACAAATATTTGTGGATTCTCAGTAGGACACTCCCAGTCTATCACATATGACGGTAGAGTAGCCATGCTGAAATGATATTCGCATGGCAACATGAGGCTAGATATAGGGTACACGTCAAAAACTGGCGTTACAAACGATAGCCAGTTGGCACTACGCAGGAAGTCGCTCAGCTGTAGCACTATTTCAGTGCCTAGCTGCCATTCCACACGAAGGAAGCACGAGGGCTGGGATACTGCCCCAGGTTTCCCAAGCCTAGACAGGGGAAGTCGAGAGGCAGAGGTCGGGTTCGAACCAAGGACCTTCCCGTCAGTAAATTCGCGCTCTAACCACTTGGTCCATCTCGCCCCCAAAGCCAGTTGTGATATGACCCGTAAAACCGATAGCAGAAAACATAAGAAGAGAAAGAGTTGGGAGGATTTCAAACCGGACCAAAAATATTACCCACAGAGTCACTATGTCCAAGGCGATTTGAGGCTGAATCAGGTCGGTGTCCAACAAGGGCTTGCATTGACTTGTTGCCTCGACAAACCCTGAGTTCGGTTCAGAAAGTGTAGTTTCGCCATTGTCCACCTTAGTGCCGCCGCTAGGCGGTATTACCATTGTGCTGTTCCTGACGACGGGCAGCTGCAATGTCACGCTTGCAGGGTTTACAATGCCCCTTTAATGTGTATCCTAATGAAACGCGAAGAAGACCGATTTCGTTCCAAATTCTTTGTGAGTTGTTCCAATTCATCAGCAACGCCATTTAGAGATATTCGATGTGTGTTTGTAAATAACGTCATTGCTTGTCCTTTATGCATATACTTTTTGTATACTCTCAACCGAAAGAATCAAGTGAAGATTATTCGCAAGTCCAATTCAGACTCTGAATGATGCTCAGACGATCGCAAAAAACGTTCAGTTGTAGCACCCTTTCGGTGCCTAACTGCCATGCTACCAGAAGGAAACACGAATGTTAGGATACTGCCAGGTCGCCCAAGCCTAGACAGAGAAAGTGGAGAGCCGGAAGTCGGTTAGAATCACGGACCTGTCGGTCAGTAAATTTGCGCTCTTAACCTCTGAGTCACCTCGACCAAGTGGAAACATTAATCAAGTACGCCAAATATGCTCATTTGCATACCAATTTGGTTTTAACAGGAGACTCACCTGAAACCCAGATGAATCTCTCGTTTATGATGTTATTAAGCAAATGAATATGCTGCAACAGTCTGCTCGGTTGCTACGGTATTCGAGATATAGCCATTCATGTTATACGTGACACACTACTCATAAGGTTGCTGGGTACTCTTCGACAGCCCACGACCGGTTCTTAAGCTTAAAAACATCATAAGCGAGAGATTCAGCTGGGTTCCAGCTGAGTCTCCCGTCAAAACCAAATTGATATGCAAATGAGCGTGTTTGTCAAAATCTGTCCAAATTGGGTTTAATTAGCACATAAAGTTTATGGAGACTGCGCCTACCTGATGAGCTCCAAGGAGGGCAAAACCAGTCGCGGGCTGTCAAAGAGTTTTCAGCAACCTTATGAGTAATGCTTTACATCTTAATCAAATATCTTAGTAACCGGAACATTTTCATATAAAACCACTCGCTCGTAACTCAATCAATCGGTGGTAATTAAAAGGTGAGTAGTGATCTGGTCCATGTTGTAATACTAAGTTATCACGGAATGGTGTCAAGAATTTTTGAGTTAAGCAACGAATGGTCACAACAATCGTACTTGACTTTATCCGAGTTTCATTGGAGGCGCCCACAGAGGAAGGGAGATTTTCTGAGGAGCGATGGTACTCCGACAGAGCATAAGAATTTCTTGGTTCCAACCATGTGAGCTTTCTGACAGAGAGGGTCGGGTGACCAGTCCCTCTACATCCATTGGACGAGGCCCAGTGAGGATAAAAGTGCTCAAGCGGCTGAAATCGACTGGATCCGCTTGCACTCCTCTTAGGTATGGGTGCAGACTCAATACTAGAAGGCTAGTGACAAGGATTGTGTTCAAACTTTCAGGATGCCCATCGGCCAGGTGAAATCAGTATTGAGACCTGATGGCTCTGGGAAAACGAAGTACACCCCCACTGGAACAGCATCAAACTGATAATCAACAAATTAGCAGGGAATTTTACATGAACTGCACTTGTGCGGTCGACAATCATGTGGTGTAAGCCATGCAAAAGTGCAACAGTGCACTACACCATCATCAGGTCACGTGTGAGAACCGTCTCGCCCTTTTACATAAGCACATTTGTCTTTTAGAAGGAGTACCAGGATGCACTGTTACCCCTTCATAGTTGCGAGTACTATCCACAGCACTTCTGTTTGAATAGACTTCGTGTGCTAGACTGGCCCAGCTGGACTGTTGTGAAGTGAAAGTGCGACTGGTCACGTGACACCATCCGCCACCTATGTTGAATACGAACCCTTAGAGGAAAAACGGCTATCCACCAGTAGGAAACTGCAGTGAAGCATCAGTGTCAACACTGATGTTGTTGCCTTTGGTGATGATGATGATGACGATGATGATGAAGTTGTTGTTGATGATGATGTTGATGATGGTGATGATGATGAAACTGCAGTCCGAAATTTCGAATATTGGTTGATTAGGAACACAGAAACAAGAAAATCACCTAACTTACCTGAGTACTCTGATGAGCCGGTCGGAGAAGTGTTGTGATTCGAAGAGTCCTCTCCGTCATTTGGAATAGGATTCATCCGTTTGGCCAGGCTAAATGGACGATGGAAAGTATTGATGATGAATTCGCAGCACTTTTTAAAAAGTTAAATTTTGACAGAGGTGGCAGTGTTTGCAAGTTCACTTGTGCACCAGAAGCTAATTAGGTTACTTGTCTGCGGTTCGATAGATAAAAGCTTACCTACGCATTTTCAGGGTTTCTCAGGGGACCAGGGTATGAGCTAACGACCTGGAGGACCATGTTAACAATATTTCCCAAGTTTTTTTAGTGCTCTTGCCTAGATTTCACATCATCTGCCGAACTGAATATATATGTGACTGTTTTCTGGATTTGACCTAGCTAATACCTCCTCAATGTTCTAAACAGAACAGCGCCTAGTTCCTTGGATCCTCTGGCTAGTAAGTGTCCCAAATCCCTGAGTATACACACAAATCGAGGAACTGTTGGCCTACGGGAACAGATATTTTAAAATGGGGACACCCGGCCATGATGTGGATTTCTAAGATGATGAATGGCTGACATCCGAGGAGCATTTGCTGGTCAGTGGGTTGGCGCATCTGTTGGTGACACAGTCGAACTGCCAGAAATAGAAGTTTCAACTTACTTGGACTCCTCACGTATTCACGTATGGACGTGCTGAAGAGAGAACAAGAAACCAATAATGTTCGTATGAATAGTACGGGTACAAATCGAATGCGGTTCCTAGGGAGAGGTGACAAGTATACAAGAAGTGCACATGACCTAGGATTAGTCTTCACCTTTTGCCCAATACTCATTTCCGCATCTGCCTGGTAGCGACAGTACCTAAGCACCAATACGTCATTTTGATAAGGAGTGAATTAACCGTCTGGTTGTCTGTGACATGCGGGAACTCAGTTCCTAAAGTTTCAACCTTACTAGGAAGACTAACGGGGAGCAGCCCAACGAAGAACAGTCCATGAAATGCCAGAACCTGTACTAGGAGGTGGTCTGGAAGTCACCGTCATCATCATCGACAGCATGACATCAGTTTTTAACACCGATGCTTCACTGCCGTACGGTCTGGAAGTAAACTCACACGGTCCTCTGTGATAAGAGTATGAAAGCAGTAAGGTGTTTTACCCAGGTGACCAACACGCTTATATTTGTCGAAACAGCGATGCTGCCTTCACCTCAGGAAGAACGAGTTGGAAAAGGTCGAGTACTTTTGAAAAAGGAGTCTGGTGCCGCACAACAGGTGCCTGTTGAGCGGAGCCGAATCAAAAGTAAGACCTCAGACCAGGCTATCCCAGACTCCGGGAAGAGCCCCATAAGGAAACATAACCGCTGCCTCGCCGTTTCGACGCCGCAGCCCTCAAAGTCCGTACAGGGCAACAGACGTCTGAAACCGTGCGTCCCCTATCTGTCGACGTATGCTGTGCCTCCGAAACATGCACACATGACCCCACTTCGGTCGTCCACCTCAAGTCACTTAGGATGAGATCAGATGTTCCACATTTCAATCTTTGGGTATCTGGTGACCCTGACGAAATGGCTCCTGTTATCTGCCATGTGGAAGTTGCACTCAACCCCAAGGTTGAAAAAGTTTCACTTGATCGGATCTCGGCAGGCAGTTGTCTTTTCGCTGTACGACTGTCCGGTTCAATTAGCGTTAACGCAGGTCGATTTGGTAAACGGTGCTTATTTATCGTGTCAGAATACGCTGAACAGACTGAAGCTTTGAACCACAAAAAGATGGATTTTAGCTGCCGGGACTTTTCATGAACTCAGTTGAGTCATATGATTATCAGTTACTGATGGAGAATCCCAGTTAAAGACTGTCGTTCTAGGATATTCAAATTAACTCCGATCATGCCAATGTGTTGGCCCGGTTATCACTTGCTTTCCGTCAGCATTACGCGAGCAGAAGCAAAGCAACTCCGATGAGTTTCAGCAGCTCAACAGTATCGAGCTGACCTGCCTGGAAACCTAATGGAAATGGTCAATCCGATGACGAAGATTGGTTGGAGGTTGAATAGAACCAAGATAAAGATAGGCCCTCAACTTTTATAACCGCCTGTCCTAATCATCCTCTCGTTGGGATCAGCATGTCCTACTGCTGTCATGCTAGCAAACAGCGACCATGAGGGCGACCTCAGACCCGTAAAACACCGGATAATCAAAAGCCTGAAGCATGGGAAGGGATGCTGAGTTGCGAAAGCCCAGGAGCTGGAGACGTCCTTCACTTCAGGCAACAGCCGCACCCCATTCCAGCTGATTCCATCAACCGGTCAGAAGAAAACAGCGGAATAATTCGCGAAAAAGATGGAACGGCATTCCGCCCGCGAAAACGTCGTTTTGCGCGATAGGCATTGTAAAGAACAGTTCGGCTGGCCTCATTCAACACAATCTTTGGAAGAATCCAATATGCCGGAATGGAAAACTGATACCATCTTGTGACCAACAAGAGAAATCCAGCGTGAGATATCACTCCTCCAAAGCGGCAAGGCACCCGACCCGGATGGAATCAAATTGTGTTTCACCTAGGCCGAAGATACATGAGCCAAGTCTTTACTTTGAGACAACGCCATCCTTTCATACGTCTCGTGTTGTTTTTCTACACACCTGGACGCTGCTTTTGACTCTGTTAGCCATGGAGAACTTTGGCGGCGTGGCGACTAAAGATATCCCTTACACATTTATATTCCTTATGAGGGAACCTTATGCTAGCTCTTGTGAATTGGTGATGAAATGCCTAAAACTTCCTTCGGGGATCAAAATTTTCCCGGGACGTTTGCCGACAGACATTAAGTACGCGGACGATATTGTTCTCCCAACTAATTCTACCGCAATGCTTGGTATATGGTTCACACCTGCAAAGTGTAAAGTGCTGCTACAAGACTGGATGGGATCAAGCTCAAACCTCATACTTGAAGCTGAGCCAATCGACGTTGTAGGTAAATTTGTCTATCGGGTTAGTTGTATGAATTCCGGAGGACTGGCTAGAAACAAGACTACCCCTCATATAGGGAAGCCCAACATCAGACACCTGTGGTGATGTGACGTCAGTTTGTCTGTCAAGGTTAGAGTCTACACTACGATAGTGCGATCCATACTAATTCATGGGTCAGAGACACGAATTCGATACGCAGAGGACGGCTGATCATCATTGGTTAGGTCTGGTGGGAAGATTGGATTAGTGGCGGTGAAGTACGCCAGGAACCCTCCCAAAATGGATGAAGTACCCAAGCCTCAAAAGTCACACTTGTTAGGACATGTACTTCAAATGCCAGAAGGCCGCCTGCCTCGCAGAGCTCTTTCTGCCCAACCCTGTGTTGATTGGAAGCTATCAAGAGGTGGACAGTGCATGAACCGGTAACGAAGGGTGAAAAAATAACCGGTAAACAATATCTGCCTCCCTGGATGAGACCCCGAGACTCGAATTACGAATGTTTAATGACACTAGCAAAAAACGGCTTAATTGCGCAGTCAGTCGCGTGCGTGCATCAAAACTATTGCCTTCAATGGGTAGCTGCCCAGTTCCCGAAACTAACAAGCCAGCACCTCCAGTGCTAGGCTATATCTCCAACGATTTCCAATTTTCCAGTGGTCAAAGCTGTAACGGCTGGTACATGGCTTATGACTGATAAACTGAAATGAACTGTCCGTCAGACGTAAGCAGGCATGCTAAGTAGGGGGTGGTGGACACCACTTTCTCGAAATTCTTTCACAGGAGTCACCAAACGAACCGTACAGAATCGAATGGCAACGGGTATCCTATCGGGATGCCTCCGCTTGATCGCTCAACCTAATACCCGCCCCGACATATCCAGCTGCAGCAGGCTGTGCATCACCAGCGGTGAGCAGCCGGAACCTGGAATATAGCGAGCGGATAGTCAGTTCATTTACACTTCTAGCAACCTGGATACTTGTTTATGACAGACAGCATATACCAAAAGATAAGGAATTCAGCGTTCCGTCAAGAACCAATTTTCGTACATGCTTTAGTGTGCAAACATCAAGGGTGACTAAGTAGACCGGCTTCGAGGGTTTGAAAACAGACTTAGAAGTGTTTAGGGATGTTACGGAGGTCTTATTCAAAGAACCGGAAGCTGAGGGTGATGCACGGCGAACGAATCGGTCAGCCCTAGTGCTCGGACCTGCGGACAGAGCACTCAAATCGGGATGGAGTGGGGTAAGAGGGGAAGTAAGTGGGAGTGTGGGAAGGGAGGCATCAGTAGTAGCGTGTTTCTGCTTACCCATCCTGTTGTGTACGGTAAGTAATGATACCCGGCTGGTGGCACCACGCGACGGCCGATGTAGTGTGAGTATTATCAAATCAAGGTATCATGGCTGGACGTTGGCTGGGGTACTGCCAAGGCATCCAGATTTAGAGAGGACTATTAGGGTCCTCGATTAAAGGCTATGGCTCAAAAGCACGGCCGCAAGGTGGTGGTGGTTGATGGAAGATGTCATGCATAAAGATAACGGCTGTCACGCGTCTCGACCCCCAAGCTGGAGGACAAGGAAACTGGCGACCAGATCTCTAATCATTAACCACCCTGGTGTGAGACTGCGAGTGGTGCGTGAACAAACCCCAGGATAGCTCAATGGGTCACAAAGGCACATAATCCGTTACACCACGGTAAGGTCAAGTTTCTTAGTGACCGCCATATAACAGTGAGGAAAATCATAGTAAAAGGTGGAAAAAATGGAAGGAACCTAGTGCGAATGAACCCAGGGAAGGACGTTCACGATCGTCACCGTCATCATCATCATCATCATCGACAACATGACATCAGTGTTCAACACCGATTCCTCACTGCCGTGCAACCATGATTTATTTGAAAGCCTTATTGCAAAGAGAAGAGTAAAGGTGGATGGGGAAGGGACTTAGTGCTAGCTTATCACAATCATTTCGAGGTGCCTAAACCTCCAGACATTCACTCCGGCAATCTAGATAGAAACTGACAACAAGATCGCCACTGACATCGGTCAGCAGCCATTTCTTCCGGTGTCTCCAACCACGTACAGTGAGGATCACGCGGTTCCCCATTCTGGAAGGCGATTAACACCGACATCACCCAAACGTTTCGTGATTTCTTTCATACCCCTCTGACAGGTCAAGGGTTGGCCACCTGTCCGCTTCCGCCACTCTGAATTGGGCGTGGAAAACAGCACTCTCTTCGGCAAACGATGGTTCGGCATACGCAACACGTGTTCCAACGCAGCTTCTGGTGCTGGGCGCATTCTTCAATGGAAGTACCAGTTACACAACCGAAAACACGCTTTCTGACTGCCTCGTTACGGATTCGCCGACACCAACCCACACGAGCTATGGTTCTGAGACAACGATTGTCGAACACCTGAAGACGTCTCAGGTCCGCTGCTCGAATAGGCCAAGTCTCACAGCCATACAACAAAACAGCCCGTACTGTAGCTTGATACACACGTCCCTTCAGATTCAGGGATAAACCATTCTGACGCCATAGGTGTCTCAAGTTAGCAAACGCGGCCCGAGCCTTGCAGATTCGTGCATTCACCTCATCTGTCACACTGCAATCAGAACTAATACAACTTCCAAGGTACGTAAAACGCTCCACAACTTCCAGTACCTCTCCCTGGATTGTAAGGGGCGTGTTCAGTGACTGCACGTCCACAAGCATGACCTTACACTTTGTGGGTGCAAAATGCATACCAAAGGACGGGATGACTTTGGTCAGTTTATCCAAGAATACTTGCGCCTTCTCCTCCTCTTCGAACATGAGAACAATGTCGTCTGTATATTCCAGGTCGACAAGGTTCTCGTCACAGGCTGATAGAACACCGGGGTTTTGGAGACCCTCCAGCGTTCGTCTCATTATTTCGTCGATCACAAAGTTAAAAAGGAATGGAGAGAGTGGGCATCCCTGACGGACACCGCTTTGTGTACGGAAGCTTTTGGAGAGCTCTCCGTACACTCTCACACGTCCGGAAGTCTGAGAATACAAAGAACGTATTATGTTTACAAACTTCCGGGGCATTCCTTGGTGGGCAAGCGTCT